GCCAAAGAACTAGATTACCAAAAATCCCCCAATGGGATGGGACATCCTCACCTCAAGGCAGGAATCTGGCTCCTAAAAACTTCCATTACTGGTAAAAACTGCCTTGCCCAATATGGAGGGAATTTCAACACCCCCATCGGGACCCTGACATGTCTGAGTCAGAGATTTTATGATGCTACTGCCCAAGAAACCCAGTGGTATGGGGGTTTTCAAAGTATTCTGAGCCAAACCCTCACCCTTGTCCAGTTTCCACCACCTCCAACAGGCATAGAACAAGGTTGACACAGACATAGAATGGTGGGCCCCAGGAGGATTATACTGGATATGTGGAAGTACTGCCTATACCAGCGTGCCCCGGTTCTGGGCCAGGGCCAGGGCCTGTGTGCTAGGGACAATACATCCTTCCTTTTTCCTCCTCCCCTTACCTCAAAGTGCACAGCTGGGAATTCCAGTCTATGAGGAAAACAGACACCCAAGGAGTCAGAAGGCTATACCAAGGAGTATACAAATTGGAAAATGGAAAGATGATTAATGGCCCCCAGAGAGCATAATTCAGTATTATAAGCCAGCCACCTGGGCTGAGGATGGCTTTTGGGGCTACCGGACTCCAATATATATGCTCAATCATATCATATGGCTCAGGCAGTAGTAGAAATCATAACCAATGAAACTGCAAAAACCCTCAATATTCTAGCTAAGCAAGGCACCAAGATGCACAATGCAATTTATCAAAACCGCTTGGCTCTAAACTATCTCTTAGTCTCAGGAGGAGAAATTTGTGGCAAAGTCAGTTTAAACAACTTTCATCTTCAGATTGATGATACAGAAAAGGTAACAGATCACAGATAGAATGAGAAAGATTGCTCATATTCCAGTTCAGATTTGGAAAGAGTGGAATCCTGATGATTTACTTGGAGGATGGTTCTCTACAATAGGAGAACTTAAAACAATGTTTGGGGCTGTAGTAATTATGGTGTTAGGCTATCTTATACTCCCATGCTTGCTGCCACTGGTCATGCAGTCTGTATCGACCCTGATAGAAGTCATAGTAGAACAAAAAACAGATGCACAATTATATCTATTACAAGGCTACCAAAGAGTAGATCCCATCTCTGAGGATGAAAAAGATGATGATTTTGACAAATAAAATGTCAAAGCATCAAAGGGGAGAATGTTGGAGTCAGCTTGGGGGATTTATTGTATGTCTAGAATTTACCTTGGTTTCCCCACTCTGAATCTACAGGCAACTTTCTGCTAGCCCTGCAGTTTCCTGTAACTGCAGCCACATTCTATAGGGGGATGGGGAGCAAATTTTATAATCAACTTGTGTTCGTGTAACTGACCCATATAATGCAAAAAACTCTGGTTGCATAACCCCCCTCCCCGAAGAGTATATAACCCATCTCCTGACACTGACTGGGTCTCAGGGCTTTGAGAAGTTGTCTCCCCTGAGTCTGCTAGCATAATAAAATCCCTGCTTCCTGCAAAATGGGCTCATTGACTTTGTTTCCCCTCACTGTTTCCAGCAACAAAACCACCCTCCATCTTTCTTTCTCCCTTATCCCTCTCCAATCCAGTCCTGGAATAGCTTCAACAGGTCTCATTTTTCCACTTTCAAATGAGAGAACATAGTATTTTTATTATACTCACTCTCCTACACCTGTTCCCTATATGCTCCCCCCTCCCACTGTTACCAACTCCCAGATAGGCCGTTTACCTTCCTGTTCTCTGCTTTTGAAAAAACATATTTGCACTTGTTTAAGATAGGTATACAAGGTGCCATTGTGACATTTCCATGTATATATGTATTATAAACCAAACTGCTCCATCTCCTCTGTTTTTCTACTTCAGACCCATTCTTCTGGTGCTTTCAACAGGTTTAAAAATTCTGTATTTATTCTTGTATAGAAAGTACATCAACCATATTCACCTGAACTTCCTTCTTTTACTCTTCCTCTCCTGTTAGTGACCTTCCCTTAAAGTAACCTGTTTTTCATAAATTGCTTGCATTTGTATTGTGCCTATCTTCCATATGTGAGAGAAAATATGCAGTCTTTGTCTTTCTGAATCTAGCTTGACTTAAGATGATGAGCACATGAACTAAACAGCACTTTTTCAAAGCAAGAAGTCCAAATGGCCAAAAAACACATGAAGAAATGCTCAGCATCCCAGGCCATAAAAGAAATGCAAATCAAAACCATGTTAAGATTCTCACTTCTGTTGGAATGGCTATCATCAAGAACACAAACAACAACAAATGTTGGCAAGGATATGGGGAAAAACAAATCCTCATACACTATTGAGGAATGTAAATTAGTACAATCACTGTGGAAAATAGTATGGAGGTTCCTGAAAAAAATTAAAAATAGAACTGCTATATGATCCAGCAATATCACTTCTAGGGATATACCAGAAGAAATGTAAGTGAGGATACAATAGAGAAACTTGCATACTGCTGTTTATTGAAGCACTGTTCACAATAGCCAAGCTATAGAAACAACCCAGATACCCTACAACTGATGAATGGATTAAGAAAATATGGAGTTTTATTCAGTTATAAGGAAAAATGAATCCATGTAGTTTGAAGGTAAATGAATGCAATTAGAGGACATCATATTAAGTAAGTAAACCAGGCTAAGACAAAGGCCACATATTTTTAATTTCTTGACAAAACACAAACCTAAGATCAGTAGTTATCAATGCCAGTTAATAGTAATTGCATGACCTATGACAAATTCTTCTTGCTAAACTTTAGTCCATTCCTTTGGAACCTTCTTCTCATTTAGGCCTCAGTGGGACTTCCATCACCTTGGCATGGCCCATGTTTAGCAATAATATTATTAAGTCTTCTTAGTAATGATCCCCACACCTGATCACCCTCTATGTCTGATCAAACTGATACTCCATTCTACCTTCAGTAGTAATATTAGGTTTAGGTTCAGCCTGAATCCCCCTTATACTTCATGCTTCCTCTTACTAATTTCCATCTACTGACCCCTATCCTATTTGTGGGTTATGATCTTCCCCTGCTCCACTCTGTATTAGGACCTGAGCCCAATTCTAATGTGAGGTTTCATTTACCCTTTCCAATAATGTCTGAACCAAATCTTTTATCACCTTAGTTCAATTCTGATTTTCTTTAACTACCATTACCACACCCAATATCAAATAGGGTCACAGTAGTTTTGAAATAGCAGCATTCCCAGACCAAAATGTGAGGGGTGATTCACAGCATTTTGCCAATCAAATATGTTTATTTACCTCATGCTATGTGTTGCACAGAGTACTAAAACATATTCCATATTTCCTCCCCTCAAGGGACATTGGATGTGGGCAATGAAACAAGAGAACTGATTAATATTTATTACAAACTGTTTTGCTTGGCAAATAAGAAAATACTCAATTCATGTTTTCAGATTTTAAATTAAATTTTTTAATTTATTTATTTTTATTTTTTGCTTTACCTTGAGGTACTGTCATAATGGTACAGCAAGTAGTATTGGTTCCATCACAAACCTCACTTCTCTGAGTTGATTTACATCAAAATGGCACGTGGGGAGTGGATAAAACCACCACGAGGGGACTATTAGGGAAGCTCAAAATTTCACACCTTGATGCTTTTTTCCATTGAATTAAACCTCTGAATCAGGAACCAAGGTAAAGATCAGTTAGTTAAATCATCATGGGTTGTAACACATGGGTACATGAAAGCAATAGTAGGAATCTTTCTGTATAGGTATCCTTAACTCAACTAGCAAAAATCCTTTGTCTTTCTTATTATGCATCTGTCCTTTCTTCAACAAAATCAGTGATAAGGGCAGAACAGGACCTGCCTGAAACTGAGGAGGGGAGGAGGGAAGGGTGGGAGAGAGGGGCAGGGTGGAGAAATGACCCAAACAATGTATGCACATGTAAATAAATAAACAACAAAAAAAGAAATGTGTATACTTTTTGTAGACTGAAATTGGGTCATTTCTAGAGTGAGGATGGAAATTGTAATTATTTTTACCCTGGTACCAGTTAATAATGAAGTGTAAGGGGCTTGAGGCATTAAATCCCTACCTAAGACCAGTCCAGGATGCTGGAGTCAAAGTCCTGAAGCTAGGGTAGGTGAACAGATTTATGATGTTGCAATGATTATTGGGTCCACCTGATCCCTAGGATATAAATGTAGTCTTTGTTTTGTTAAAAAAAAAAAAAAGATCTATTGTTTGAGGAACTGACATTGACCTACCTTAGGATAGGTGACTCAAAAACATATTGTGACATTCCATGACGCTGGTGGTCTAATGTGCTTTTAACAGGGTAGGGGGAAGGGGAGGTAGTTGTAGTTGGTGAATAAAATTAAGGTATATTATAAGCATATATGTAGATTTCACAATGTATCCTCCTCTCTACAACTATTATTTACTAATAAAGAGTTTGAAACTTGAAAAGAAAAAGAATTAAACCTCTGATTCTTGCTTAGATATTACCAGTGAACTAAAACTCTCTTTGGTGAAAATTTTTAAAAAGTAATTCACACTTTGGAGACAATGTAACAGAACCAACAATTAAATGGAAGAGCAGTTTGTTACACTCAGCTCTGACTCAGGGCATAAGAACCTGATGGATATGAGCAGCCATGACTGCAGACACACAGTGTTCTCACCTGAATGTCTCCTCCTGATCTCAAGGCTCATCTACTCCAGGCCTACAAAGTGTTTTATCTAAGTGAAAAACTTGACCAATCCCTCCTGATGTGTGTATATAACAACCTTTGGTGCCACCACTCAGCTTAATATATCACATCCTGCCTCTTACAATGGTTTATAGTAGCCTCCCCCCATCCAGATTTGTTCTGCAGAATTCCCTCCTGCAAACATCAATACTACAGCATCACTGTTCTCTCAGCACTCTCCAGTCTGCTTTTCTTTGTGTCCCTTTGCTCTTCACAGTTCTTGCCAGGACACCCCCCGCTCCACCAACCTCCCCACCTGACACATTCCTCAGCAAGTTCTGTTTTGCAAGTCTTGAAACACTTAATGATCAGTGTAAGTCTATTTATGGATTCTACTATGGTAATGACCAGTTTGTGTGGGGTTTGACACTGTTGGTAACTGAGAACAGTGGCTACTTTTTATTTATTTTTAGAATTCCCAGAACCCAGTAGAGTGAGCCAGTGAATGTTGGTGAGCACCAAGAAAGTTCCCTAAAATAGGCAAGAGAATTCAAGGCAGGATTTAGTAGCAGTTCTTTAAGCCCACTGTGTCATTTATTACCAGGATAACTTCAAACAAGCTTTCCCACTATACAAATGAAAACAGACTACCCATACTCATCTCACAGGGCTGTTGGAAAGAACAAGTGGAATAAGGCACATTTAGTTCAGTTCCATCAAGGCAAGTCCGTTCTTTGTCTTCACTGCAAGGCCCTCATTCCCAAATACTACCCCCAACACAGTGGTAACAATACGCTTATCCTGTTTCTCCAACATGTTTAATTGTAAGAATAGAGTTAAAGGTGAACTGCTGATAAAACCAAACTTTGGTTCAATGCTGGAGGCACCCACTGCTCCCTCCTATTTTGTTGGGCGGCAGTGCTTCTGGATCTCTTCTGCAAGTGCCAAGCAGTGCAGAATGCGTTTCCTTTCAGCAGCAAGTTCCTTCTCAGGAACCTGGCCCAAGAGCTTCTGGACAAATATATTTTGATCTTTCAGGAAAATGTTCTTATTGACTCCTACATTTGGCACATTCTCCAGGGACCCAGATTTGAAATGGAAGCTTAAATATCTGTTTCGTTTCAATCCAGGCCCTTTCTCCTCAATCCAGGACAGTGGACTGCAAAGACAAATTCAAATGTTAGACATCATGTAGGAGGACAAATGGGTACTTGCTGTCCTTGTGGTCATTTTGCGCCCACAGTTCCTGCACCCGTGGCTCAATGTGGTGGTTCAGTGGTACCCTGATCTCCACCAGCTCCCAAAGGGCAGTAACTATTTCCAATTTTAGTACCAAACTGTTCTTCATTTATTTTTGTCATGGGGCAAAAGTCATTCAATGACTTTTGTGTAAGCAATAGCTGGTTATTTGGTAGTTTTTACTTTGAGTCTTAGGGATTCCTTTTAGGTGATCCACATATGGACAACAGGCAATCCATGAAGGACCTGTGATTTTGTGTACATTGCCGTTTCTCTGTGTGTACATTTGAAGAGGAAGAATTCTTTGAGTTCTTTCATCAGATTCTCATGAAACTCTGAACCCAAATACATGCCACAAAATAACCAGTACTAGTTTAAAAAAAGCACCATTGTTTTCAAATCACATTTCCCTTTGGGGTGAGGCCACATCTGAGCTCATAAAAACTTTAAATCCGCATAGTATAAACCTCACTTCTCCAAAATCTCTCCTTTCTTGGGGTTATTTCTCTCTGTAGCAGATAAGAGATATATAATCAACATAGGGAAAAGAAATCTTTTCCTAAGTAGATTCTGACCTAAAGTAAATACTTCACTGAATATTATGACATAACAAAAACATAACCTTCTCTTTTAAGAATAATTTATTTATTTGCAAAGGTGGGGATTGAACCCAAGACCTCACACAAACTAGGGAAAACACTCTACCACTGACCTACAACTCTAGCCCTATTCTTTAAATTTTATTCTAAATATTACACAGTATTTATTTAAGGACTTCATAATGAAAATAAATCTATAGACTCTTCTACCTAAATAATAATATATTCAGTTTAACATAATCCTTTCAAATATTTGTCAGTATATGGCATATAAGCCAAAAAGCCATAATTTGGTTTCTTTTGCTTATTTTAAAATATTTGTATGATCCTATAAATTCTGCTATCATAATTACTGCTTCTATGAATAATGTATATTGATTATAAAGTAAACTTAACATTTTATTGTTGCCAAATATTTAAGGTTTTCCCATTTTTAAATTTTTATGGTATCCTGCATTCAACATTTTCACATTTGTATACATGTATGGAATTTGAACTTTGGACTTTGCACTTGCTAGGCAGGTGCTCTACTGCTTGTCGCATGACTCCAGCCCTTTCTGCTGTGGTCATTTTGGAGTTAGGGTCTCAGTTTTTGCCCAGGCTGGCCTGGACTCTTATTTTATACTTCACACCATAGCTGGTATGACAGGTACATGCTACCACACCTGGCTTTTTTCTACTGACATTGGGTCTTGCAAACTGTTTTGCCCAGGTTGGCCTGGAACCCAGTACTTCTGATCTCAGCCTTTTACATAGCTAGGATTACAGACAAGAGCCACCAGCACCCAGCTACTTTTTCTCTTATTGAGCAATGTCTCACTGCATTGCCAGGCTGGCCTCCAAACTTCTGGGCCCAGGTGTTCCTCTTGCCTCACCTCCTACGTAGCTGGGACTATTTTTTTTTTTTGGTACTTCTTTATATGCTCAATAGCTACATATGTTTGAGCTACAAAAGGTTTTCTACCTACTTTTAGTTTGAAAACTGTTAGTAAGTTGGAAGGAACATGGGTTTATAAGTGGCACTGAGTTTTCTGGGTACCTCTGGGATCTGGAGCTAATGACACCTGCCTCACTGATAAATGAAGACTCTGAGAAGGTACAGACAGCATCTAGTGTTTTCATGAAACTCCTTTTAGTGCTTCCAGTATTGCAGGGGATAAGACACTCAGCTTGGGATCTGGAGAAAAGCTGACAGAGAGTGAATCCCACATAACTACTTATTAGCTCTATGTCTATTATGGTTTGACTATAAAATGTCCCAGAGTCCCCTGAGTTTGAGCCTTTGTTCTCTTCTGGTGGTAATATTTTGGTAGGTGCCGGAAACTTTAGGAGATGGGTTGCGTTGGGAGAAGTAGATCACTGGGAGTGGGTCTTTCAGGGGTGTATCTTGCCCTGGCCCTTCCTGTGTTATTTTGTATGCTTCTTGGCTGCCAGGAACCAAACAGCCTCCTCCACTACACACTCCTGCTGTGATGATCTTCTGCCTCACCACAAGCCCATCACAATGGAATAAACCATGGACTGAACTTCAGAAAATAAATCTTTCTTCTTTTAAACTGTTCCTCTTAGGTATTTTTACAGAACAAAAGTCTTGTTAACATAAGTTTTCTTAGACAAGTTTCTTAACTTCTGAATCTTGTTTTCCTAAATGATAACAATATTAACATCCAAGAGTTGTTATAAAGACAAAATAAGAATGCTTGTAAAAGGGCTGGGCCAAGTGTTGCACATAATTAGAGGTCAATAAATACTAATACTAGTCAATAAATACTAATACTGGTATTTGTAAAACAGGGATTTGAGTGATTACTTCTGATTTGCTAGTCCATTTATTAGTAGCCCTTCAAGACCACATGTTTTGCTCCCTTCTATTACCTCTTTAACCTGTGTTCCACTCTGCTTCACTACGTTGTCTGAAGATAACTTAAGGAATTTTGTCCTGAGACAACTGGTAGTGGCTCCTAATGTGTAGTGGCAAGCCCTAGAAAGATGCCTCCTTGTAGTTGAAATGGAATCAGCCTTTAGAATGAGGTAAGTTTTGAGAAAGACAGGTAATAAGCATATAAATCCCGAAGCATTACTCCAAGTCAATTAGAGCCAGACGAATCCAAGAAGAGCAGTTACAATTCATAAAGCAAGTAAACCTAAGGTGATCAATCCATCAACCAGAAATTTTTGGTTCCAACTCACATTTTTAAAACATTAATAATTACAACAAACACTAGCAAAAAAATTGACCTAACTTCATCTAAAAATTTAATTCTCCTGAAAAGTTTAAAAGCTTATAGTATGAGCTAGTGGGGTGGCTGCCTGCCTAGCAAGCATAAGACCCTAGTACTGCACCCCCCCCAAAAGAAAAAAAAAGAAGGAAAGAAAAAAGCTTACAGTACAGCCTTGCAAATGTTCCAGAGTATAATGGCAAAGATTAATTTTCATGCAACTTGTTCAAAGCTTTATTTTGACACTGGATTAAAATTAATTTGAGGTATTCCAAGTAGTCTGATGTACCAAAGAAAATTTCTCATGTCTTTCTAAATAACATAGTATCATGGGGTTTGAGGTAACATAAAATGTCATCATGTTTCTTTCACCTCAATCTCCTTATCAATAAAAACATGTTATGGCAAGTCACGAGCAGTGGTATACGTACATAGTCCCAGCTACTCAGGAGGCTGAAACAAAGAGCTCCTGACCAGCCTGAGCAAAATAGTGAGGCCCCATCTCTAAAATAAGTACATAAATAAATAAAATAAATATTAATAAAAAATTAACCTCTGTGTGATGTAGGCAGCCTGCTTACATTCTGTAAGCCACTATTTGCACACTGGCAAATGGGTTTCTGCTGGTCATTTTCACCTCACAGAGGTGTTGCAAAGATGAAATGAGACCACATAAGTGAAATCACAGTTCTTTGTCTGCAGAAGCAGACAGCTCTTCTAGAGTTGGAAGTCTGGTTATACCCCTTAGGGCTCTCTCTGTAGTCATCCTTGTGAAACACCTGCAGTCCTGAAGTCTCCTTCTCCTCATGATTTCTAACAACTTACCATTTGTTCTTGGTCTCCAGATGCACAGTCATTTTCATATATTGATCTTCCTTTTTCTCTTCCAGAGTGGCAGACACCAGAGAAAGCTCACCAAAGAGGGAAACCAGCCAGGTCAGACGAGAGATGCCACTAAATGCAGGGAAGCCAAAGTGCTCTTCTTCCAAAGGGCCCGCTGTAGGGAATCACAAATGCTGTGGAAACTTGGAAGAAGAGGCTGCCTGATGAAGGCAGGATCCAGATAGGGATAGGGGAGAGAATGGACCCAGTTGAGTGATTAGAACAAAGAGATGCTGCCTTACAGGGTGGATATGCATGATCGATGGGATGAAAATTTGGTTGGTTAAATAAAAACTCTTTCATAAAAGTGTTTCCCTTTTTTCATCATTCAATTTTGCTAGTAAAATAAGATATTCTACAGTCAGTAGCAGTAAATCCAGTCAAAGACTACAATTAAAAAGACTTTTAGACTTCTAATATATTCAGTTTATTCACATACACATATGTAGATACATGTGCACATACACATATACATACATATATATCCTCTTCAATTAGTGATTTAAAATTATCTGGCAGCTGGGCATGGTGGTTCATGCCTATAATCTCAGCTACTTAGGTGATGGAAACAGGAGGATCATGGTTTGAGGCCAACTCAGGCAAAAGTTAGAGAGACCCTATTTCAAAACTAAACTAGGCATGGTGGGGCACACCTGCAGCTCCAGTTACTCAGGTGTGGAAAACAGAAAGACTGGGGTCCAAGGCCAACCTGGGCAAAATAGTGAAACACTATTTGACAAACTAAAAATAAAAGAACTGGGAGGATGGCTCAAATAGTATAGTGCTTATCTAGCAAGCACAGGTCCTGAATTCCATCCCCAGAACCACAGATAAATAAATAAAGTGACATTGCAAAAGCATAAGAACCATGATATTTTATCCACTGAAACCCAGCTTCTTATAAATAGTGTATATGCAATTGCAATAGCATAATATCATGATAGCTTAAAGGTGAAGAAAACAGTGATACCTTTAAGCTAGTTAAATATACAAAAAGTTGATTTAGTGTTAAATGTTTTCTTAAGTCTTCATAAAATGTATGCTCAAAAGAGTGTGTGTTAGAAATCTGCTTGTTCATGATACTGACTGCTCACCTCTGTCCCAGCCGAATCTTAAACAAAACCTAAATTTAAAAGACTTCATGCTAAGTACATTACATTACAAAGCAAACATTTTTTAAGACTTAAAATTGACACTTAAAACAATGAACATGTTCTCAAAAAAATAACAAGTTATAAAAAAAAAAAGCAAACAAAAATTAGTGAAATCACTAAGTGTCAAACTCAGAAAGAAAACATGCTTCCTCTAGGCTGGTCACCATCATCTCTGAACAGATGACTGAAGATTACCCAAAGCTTGACTCACACAGTGAAAGTCCAATCTGCCCTTGTCACACTTGTATGTGAACTTGGTGAAGACACTCACCTCTTTGTGCTTCTGTTTCTTTACCTGCACCATAAGGGTAATAATTACTAATATTACACGACTGTCACATGAATTATCACATGACACCTTATCACATGTCACACCTTATCACAGTTCCTTGTACAAGGTAATGGTTATCACCCTTGGCACAACTCATGTCATTTCAAAAACTGAAGACATTCCAATGAGGTTTGACTGTATTATTTATAAACTCATGAAGAGATAAAGTTTTACCACTCAACCTAGCCTACCCATATAGGTTTTTTGGGTTTTTTTTCAATGAAAACCCTTGGAAAGGGTGTCCCTGATATCCAAGGATCTAGCCAGATAAGGAATCCATCCAAGGTGACACAAGAACAGGAAGCTCTAGTAGGGTCAGTTCCTATTACTAATGGACATGCTCAAAGAATGACCAACATAAATTAAAAAGCCAAATGTAAATTAGATCAAATACTGATGATGCACCCAATGTCCTTGTAACTTGCTAAAGAAGCAAAGGGACTATGCATCTCTATTTGGTTTGCAAGGTAAGTATAAAAAAATGTTCTCCTTTCCAAGTATCCATCTTTCAGTCATTTTTCAAGAGAATGTTCAAGTACATACAACCCTCTGTAGAAAAATAATCTCCAATTAGTTAAGGTTTCACACATGAAGTTGTTTTTGTTGATTTTTTTTTTGAGATGCTAGGTATCAATCCTAGTACCCTGGGCATGACAGGCAAGCACTCTGCATGAAACTTAGTGTTTCATCCACAGCCCTAGTTAAGAATTCATGAGGGAGAAAATTCTGCCTAAGAGATTAGGACAGAAGCATAAATATATTGGAGATTTCTAACACATTTTTTACCCAAGATTACACCAAGTGATTAAATCTCACTTAAGGAAAAAATAGATATTTTTATTGTTCATGAAAGCTTCAGAAAATTAAATTAAATTGGCTCCAAGTCAGAAAGTCTTTAGAAGAAAAAAAGATATGTAAGAGGCCTCCTGACCTCTACTGTGACCTATGATTCCCCCTAAAACTGACCTGTAAAGAGAAGAGACCCTTTCAGCAGTTCTTTTCCCACCACTTCTTTTTTCAGGAATGTAAATTCCTCCATCAAGAGTTCCACATGCTCCTCATGTAAGACTTTTCCTGTCATGACAAAAATGGAAGGCAAAATTTAGTCACCACAAACTGTGTGGACTGCATCTGTCTTCCTCTAGATACAGGACACACAGGCCCTATGCACATGACCACGATGACCACTACACACTTATACATTTAGCTGAAAGTGGCTCCAGGTCTAGGTTACAAAGAAATGAAACTCTAAGAAAGTGGGATAGAATCTGCCTGTCCCCAAAAGCAAGATGAAACTCGAGAGTGCCTGAGAGCTGACAGGGTATTAGTTTGTGTTCTATAGAGAAGGTAGTACTGCACCGAAAAAAATCTAAGACCCATAGAGAAGAAAGGAACTATAAAGACTGGAGGAAGGGAGATGTCACTCTATTCAAATGAGAACAGACAAATGATTTATAAAATGATCACTCCTTTGGGAAAGGGAAAGCTTTAATATTCATAGCTAAACTCTTGTTAAAGATTCTAGAACTTTTTTCCTTGGTGTCATTTTCTTATCTAGGCCAGAAGTTTTGTAAAATACTAAAAATATTTTGTAATTAAGTGCAAATACAGTTATGATGTGCAGCTTCACTGAACAGATAAAATCTTGGCACCTGGAAACCTCAGTCGTTGCCTAACCCAGCTTTATGTGAAATGCTGCCAATGTCTTGGGCTTTCCTGAATCCCATCAATAAGTAGGTATGAATCCCTCCCACCACTTTTTAGCATATGAATGTAGAAAAGGAAGCTTTGGGGGATAAGCAGAAGCTTTCTGGCTCAAAATGGTTTAGAACAGGCTAAATGAAACAACATGGTTGTGACAGAACACGTCTGTACTTGTGGGTAGGTTTGTCCATGCCTCTGAGGCACTCCTGCTCATCTGGGAAATGGGATTGTTTGTAAGCATGTTGTTTTTATCTCTAGCACCATTAAACAATCTCTTGTGTTTCCATATCTGTGGCTCTCAGAGAATCTTTATGTCTTCCAACTGCATCCATGTAGCTGTATTTCTGTCATTCACTCAATGCTGTACTGCAATAAAATACACTTGTACAGCCACACATATTCATATACACAATATTCCTAGATGTTTAAACAGAAAGGGCCTAAAAAAGCAGAAGTACACAAAAGCAATAAGCATACCTGGGATTCAAATCTTAGCATCAAAGTACCATTAGCCATGAACTAATTCTAGTGCTGAGCAGACAAAGTACATGACTAATCCATTTTGTGCCAGAAAATAAGTAAGTGCTGAAAAAATAGTGGAAGTATAACTAAGTGGGTGCAGCATGATCAGGTCCCCCACTCACCAAATCTAGAACAACTCGAAAACCAAAATAAGTAATGATCATCACAAACAAATTACACCCACTGGATTAAAACAGGAAGTCAAGACTTCCAAAGGAAAAGTGAGCGTGATGAGACTAAATATGGACAATAATGGATATTTACCTACTTGCAAACTGCCTCCCCACAAAACAGTCATTTATTTACATAAGGAAAAAAGTAACTTCTAGTGGAAAAGCCTGGTAGACACCATCTTCATGATGTGATACCATTAGTAATAGTACAAACTGAAATTGGGTACTGATAGAATGCAATGTGAACAGCCAAGCATCACTTCTGATATTCTTTTGAAAGGTACATACTCACATCTCATTATGAAGAAACACCAGGAAATTCAAACTTAGCAGAATTCTAAAACTGACCTGTAATCTCCATAATTGCCAAGGAAAGACAGAAACTATCCAGAGTAAAAGAAATTAATAATGACAATTCAACTGAAGATCATACATGATTCTAAACTAATCATTTTGCTATAAAGAGGGTTAGGAGATAACTGTTGAACTATGAATGGTGTCTGATATGGCTTGGATAAGTTCCCTCTCCCACACAAGAGTTCATGTGTTAACGGCTTGGTCCCCACAGTGGCACTATTGGGAGATGGTGGAGCCTTTGGTAGGTGAGGCCTAGTGGAAGGTCTTAGGCCACTGGAGTGTGTCCTTAAAGGGACTAAAGGGGCTGGCATCTTTCTCTTTCTCTCTCTTTTGTTTTCCAGCCATGAGGTGAGTAGTTATATTCACCATGTACTCCAATCTAGCACCCCAGATGCCCAAAGCTATGGTACCCCAATTTTGGTCCAGATTGAACCTCTAGAACTGAGAGCTAAATAAACTTTTTCTGTTACAAGTTAATTATTTGAGGTATTGCATTATAGTGATAGAAAGCTGACTAATACCAGGACTGAAGATTAGATCATAGTAATGTATCAATGTTAAATTCCTCATTTTGATAGCTATATGTGGTTTCAGAGTAGAACATTTTTATTCATAGGAAGTACATGCAAAATATTGGGGCATCAGGTTGGAAATATAATTTCCAAAGATTTGAGAAAATTCATGTTATATAAAAATAAAGTTCCAAAAATTAAATAATTACAGTGACAAAAATAGGATGGCAAGTCAGAAGCATAGTCATACATTATGAAACAACAGATAACTTCTTAGGAAGAAATAAAATGGCAGCCTAAAATGAATGGACTTAAATTCTCAGCTTATTTCTTCAAAATATATTTTAGCAAGATCCAGGATTTGAAATAAACAGTATATATTATGAAATTCTTAAGGAACTGAATTTGGTTCATATTTCAAAATAAAAGTATTTTTAATCATGATAATAATAAATGAGCATTTTTAACTTGGAGGGCAATACAAAAAAATAAAATCATCCATGATCCCACTTACCAGAAAGAACCACTGCTAACACATTAGTACATTTCTTTGCAGCTATTCTGTGTCATGACTGTGATCATATGGTAGATATAAAATTATATTTATTTTATTGTCTAAAGAACAAGTAAAAAACACGGGTATCAAAGAAAATGTAGAAACTGTGGAAGAGTATGAAAAGAAAATTAAATCACCTAGAATTTATAGGACATTTTAATTACCCCAGAAGTTTCCTTAGTAGTATCCCTTTCCTGTCTGTCTCTCTGCCCTTACAGGGAAAAAAATTACCCGTTAACATATCTATCTACAGATTTTCTGTCAACAGTATGAGACCATTTTTATATGGTTAAGTATCAATATAAACATTATGATCACATACAGGCAATGGAGAAAAGCAAAACAAAATGTTAACAGTGATTCTGGGTGAAAATGCAGAAAAATACAAAAGAACATTATCTAGAAGTCCAGTCCCAGTAAAAGAACACTATAAACACATTGCATAACTGTATCTGTCTGAAAATAAAATTACACATAGTTCTGTAAACTTCATTTGGTACTTAGCCTTGTATAACATGGCTTTTCTTATGTCAAGAATTTTTATTCTTAAGATTTTTATTTTTAATTGTTTTTTTATTCATATGTGCATACAATGCTTGGGTCATTTCTCCCCCCTGCCCCCAACCCCTCCCTTACCACCCACCCCGCCCGCTCGCTCTCCCCTCCACCCCCTCGATACCCGGCAGAAACTATTTTGCCCTTATCTCTAATTTTGTTGAAGAGAGAGTATAAGCAATAATAGGAAGGAACAAGGGTTTTTGATGGTTGAGATAAGGATAGCTATATAGGGAGTTGACTCACATTAATTTCCTGTGCATGGGTGTTACCTTCTAGGTTAATTCTTTTTGATCTAACCTTTTCTCTAGTTCCTGGTCCCCTTCTCCTATTGGCCTCAGTTGCTTTTAAGGTATCTGCTTTAGTTTCTCTGCGTTGAGGGCAACAAATGCTAACTAATTTTTTAGGTATCTTACCTGTCCTCATATCTCCCTTGTGTGCTCTCGCTTTTATCATGTGATCAAAGTCCAATCCCCTTGTTTTGTGTGCCCTTGATCTAATGTCCGCATATGAGGGAGAACATACGATTTTTGGTTAGTCAGCGTAATATTCTGTCTGTCAAATACATCATAATAATATTAAGCCTTCTCTTCCTAATTGATACCAAATTTGTTTATCATTTTTTGCTCTTACAACATTGGTATGAATATGTATGTACAAAAAGCTTTCACTTTTGTCATTTGCAGGTAAATGGATAGAACTAGATTAACATATTTAGGGAAGTAAGCCAGGTTCAGAGGTTCAGAAAGACAAAGGTTGTGTTTTTGCTCATATGAGGAAGACACGTAATACAAAGGCAAACATTATTATATATTCATATAAAAATGTGCAGACCATGTTTTCAAAAGTGGGATATTTAGGAGACTAAGGGAGGATGAAAAGAAGAAAAGAATGGAGAATGATAAAGAATGAATAATATGAAATACATTTCATCTGTGTAGGAACAAGACACAAGAAAACACATTGAAAACTGTTGAACAATACAGGGAAGGAAGAAAAGGGTGAGGAAGAGTAATAGAGTAGGTTAGACTGATTAAAGTACAATATATTTACAGGTAAAATACCAAGGCAAAACCCCACTGAGCAATAAACAGACAAACAGTGAAGGACAGGAATGTTGAACAGGTCATGTCAAGGGGAGGGTAACAGCGAGAGGGGGAAGGTGAATGAAGAGGCAAAAGGAGGGTGAATACAGATGAGGTACTTTCTATACATGTATGAAAAAGGAACGGTGAAACCTGTCAAATTATTTTAAGATGGGGAGTGGCGGAAGAAGGGGAAAAATGGAGGGGATGAACCAAATTAGAGCACAATATATGTGTCTATGGAAATGTCGCAACGAAACCTCTGGATAATTATAATATATTAATAAAAACATTTTTTAAAAGCTTTCACGTATTTCTGTGAAATAAGGCTTACAAAGGACCTAAATTTTTTAAGGTTCTTCGACATAAACTTCAAGTCCCCAAATTGCATTTAGAGCCTTCTAATTACTGCACATTCCAGTTTAGGTCAAATGCCATTTCTTCCACTTTGATTGCTCTCACTCTTCAAAATTTATTTATTTTTTTAATGTGGCAATGAGCAATCCCAAAATGTATCATATTAACCATTTTTAGGTTAATGGTATCAATAATACTCATATTACTGGGCAACAGATCTCTAGAACTTTTCCCACCTTGCTAAACTGAAACTCTATACCCATTCCACCATTTCCCACGTCTTCACTGCCAAGCCCTAGTATCCACCATTCTGCTTTCTGTCCATCAACAGAAGAACAAAGAAAATGTGTGTGTATATATACACAATGGAATACTATTCAGCCATTAAAAAGTTGATAACCTGTCAATTCCATCAATGTGAATGAGTCTGGAAGGCATTACATGTCGAATTAAATAAGCCAGATGCAGAAAGACAAATAGTGAATGATTTTACTCATTAGGTGGAATACAAAAGTCAATCTCTTAGAAGAGAATAGAATAATGGCTACCAGAAGCTGGAGAGTATAGCAGGAAGAGATTGGGAAAGGAAGGCCAATGGGTACAAAGCTACATCAAGATAGGAGGACTAAGTTTGTTACTTCATTGCACAGTAAGGTGGTTATAGTGAATATGAATGTACATTTCAAAATAGCTGCAGAGGATTTTAAATATTTTACCACAAAGAATCAATGTTTAACATAATGGATATGCTAACCACCAGACTGGATCACTGCACAAAGTGTACATGTATCAAAACAGAATACTGTATCCCATAAATTTAAACAATGATATGCCACAAAAAAATAAAATCCCTACCCAAAGTTAAATAAAGTCAATGTTTTATTTAGATATTTTATGTTTTAACTTAATGTGCCTTTTCTGTTTCAGGGTTCCATCCAGGATACCACATTACATTTAGTTGTTATGTCTATTTAGCCTTCTCTTAGGTTAGAAATTTTCTAAGACTTCCTTTGTTCTTAATGACCTTGACAGTTATTTTACAATGTTCCCTCAATTGGGATTTGTCTTTTTTTTTTCTCATAATTACACTGGGAGAATGTGTTTTGGGAAGGAAGACTACAGAGGAAAAGGATCATTCTCATCCCATCCTAACAAGGGTACATACTATTTCACATGACTTATCACTTGATGTTGACCTTGGTCATTTGGCAGAGGTAGTTTGGGTTCTCAAGTGAAAAGTTACTTCTTCCCTTTCCATATTGTACTCTTGAGAAAAAAAAAAAAAGCCACTATATACAAGGCATTATCTTCGTGAAGAAAGTTAGTCTATTATTTTGTTTTCTGTTCCCTATCGTTTTAGATCTGGAGTATCTCTCAAAGGTCCATGGTTTAAAGACTTAGATGGCTGCTCATGGCACTACTGGGAGGTGGTAGAACCTTTAAGAGGTGGGACCAAGAGGAAGGAAATTAAGTCATTGGAGGTGTACCCTTGAAGGGGATATGGAGACATTGGTGCCTTCCCCTTTGTCTTTGCTTCCTGGTTACCACGAATTGAGAGGCATCTCAGCCATCTGCTCCTGCCATGATACACTGTGCTGCCATAAGCTGAAAGCAGTAGAGCCAAGTGACCATGGTCTGTAACTGTGAGCCAAAACAAACCTTGCTTCTTTTTAAGTTGATTATCTAAGGTATCTTATCACAGTAACAGAAAGCTTACTACCATAGTGTTCCACATCCTAATTTGCTTGACTTTTTATTATGATGTCACTTAACTTATTCCTCTACCCCTTTATTTTTTGTCAACTGAAAGTTTGGTTTCAATCTCATTACATCATATCCAGGTAAGAATACCAGATGGCTGGTGACATCAGATTGACTAGAATTTGTAATCATTTGGTTAAAACATTATATCAGAGCTCTTCCTATTAAAAATAAATTTGCTGCTCTTTGCAACTAACAAGAAATCTGTAGGACACAGTTTGGTATCTTTTTTTTTTTTCTGTAGTAGAGAGAAAGGAGATTTATTTAGCATGCCCATGGGAAAAGGGAGAGTAGCATTTCAGCCCATTTCTGGGGTAGGTTTAAATAGAGGAAGAATGGTAGCAGAGGGAGAGAGGTATGCATAATTAAGCATTCCATCAAAGATGTGGTCAGGTTGATCTTTTCCCCAGGACTGTTTAGACAGAACCTTGTCACAAAAACAAAGTCACTGTTGCCTGGGGATAGACTTGATTCTTGTGACAAGATATCTATTGATTACCCTAGAATTCAGGGTGACTGCAGGAGAGAATGGCTCAGAGCAAAAGAAACAGATGCAGAATGCCAGAGGGTTTGTTGTTGTTTTGTTTGTTTTTGAGACAGGGTTTCACTATTTATTCCAGGCTTGCTTAAATTTTTCTTTTATTCATTTCCGGGGACTGAACTCGGGGCCTTGCACTGACATCTCTGTGATTTGGTTTCAATGTCCTTCATTGCTAGGATGATCTGATCTGTTCCCATGTCTGAGGGGAAGTGACAGATAACAAGGAGTCAGTGCCCTTAAGACCCTTTTTGCCAAATTCAAGCAACTAAGTGGTTTAGGAAGAGTAGCTCTTAGGTTAAGCTTATCTGAAATCCATCTTAAGTTTATTTCTTTCTGTTCTATAGGTGATATACTAGCATCACAAAATAGTGCTCAGGCTGTTTTGTTAGAAGTTGTACTTCAAGAATCAGACTTTAGGGCCCTTAGAGTCCAAATATTTAACTGCTTCACCAAGTGATAGTAAAAAGTGGCCAATGCCAGCCAAAAATGAATGTGATTTGGATAGCTACATGGGACCCTCTTCACCCTGGGATGAGACTATTATAAATGGCTAATGCCCACAGGGCATATTTTCTCCTGACTGGCACACAAAATTTGTAACTGGCTGCCTAGGTCAGAAGCCTGACTCTGGGGGTTACAAAATGTATGGTCCAGCTACTCACCCCAATATGCCAATTAAAAAGATGAGTGGTGAAGGGCAGAGAAAGATTTATTTAACACTTGCTCCCACAGGAAGAGGAAGTATTATAAGTCTTTTCTAGTTTGGCATCTTGTGCTTTCTCCATGAACATCTTGCCATGACAAACAACATAAAAAGTCATGAACAAAACTCCCCATTCCTTCATCCACTTCTGTATTCACTCAGTCATCTGTTCATTCCACAAACAGCTATAGAAGGCATACTAAGTTCTATGCAAAGTTTAGCAGCAGGGGCTGCAAAAGTGGAATATGAGACTTTCAGAAGTACAACCTATTGTTAAATTTCTAATTTCAAATATTGAAACAGAAGACTTTGTGGTTTAAACTTCATTTAGTCCCTGAATATTCTAGTTAATTGTAATTGCCGCCATAGAGAGCCTTATCAAGTTACTATATCAACACAAAATCCTCTGGATGGCAGTGAAGCTAATAGGGAAAAAAAATGTGTACTTTAAAGCCTGACAGGATTGGATTCAAATCTCCACAATTCATTTAGCCATCATGGTATCAGCTTTGTGCCCTGGCACAAATTATTTAACTTCTCTGAGCTGTGGTTTTCTGTACAAAAGCTATAGAAAATACATGCTGCTATATAATTTTTTCATGTGGTTTTCCTTTCTAATATTCATCTCAATACTTGTTCCCAAACGTGGCAGTGTTGGGAGGCACAGCCTACTGGGAAGTGTCTGGGCCCCCATGAATGAATTAATTAATGTCTTTCTCACATAAGCGAGCTTTTGCTCTCATGAATCTGAATTGGATACTGAGGGACTTAAGCCTCTTTCTCTCTGGGCACGTGCCCACGTGCCTGTCTACTTGCCCACCACACATGGGACAAAAGGAGGCCCTCACCAAATGCCAAATAGATGTGACTGATTCATCTTGGAATTCACCCACAGTACCTTAGTACTGTGCACTAAGTAAATCTCTTTTCCTTATAAATTACCCAGTGTCAGGTGTTCTTTTACAGCAGCAGCAAACAAATGATACACCTACACTGAAGAGTTTATCTGAGAAGTAAGCATTTTAAGTTCTTAAAACAGTTTTCAAATTCCTGGCATAAGGTGAACATTTAGTAAATGGCTTTTACCTTAGTGAAACAATAGTATGCAAACAAAATAATCAATTACTCTGATTTGGGCATTTTTCCATTGATACAACAAGTATCACATGTCAAATCAAAATAATGTGATATTAGCACAGGTGGAAACTAAGTCTTATTATTTCATTAAACCAAAAGAAGCTAATAAGCCTCATACACAAATTTGCACATTCTCACTCTTTCTTCTGTCCTCTATGTACTTTCTCATGTGTGCCTACAATGCAGGGGAGGGAAAGGATAACATATCTGAAATGGGGCTAATTTGAAAGACATACAGATAGTAGCATAGAAATCCTAAAGGCAGAAACCCTTAGTAACAGCATCTGTGTTCCAGACAAAGATAGCATACATCACCTTTCTCTTCAGCCAGCTCCCACAGTTCCTCAGCTGCTGCCAAAGATAGCGTCATGGGGTATTCAACCAGGACATGCTTGCCAGCATGAAGAAATTGCCTTTGGAAAAAAAGAAGAAATACAGGGAAAAAAACACTTCAAATAAGCATCACTAAAATAGTCTCATGACACAGAACAAAGTTCTGTAAACACACAAGAGTATTTGTATAAATATGTCATGAATGGAGGTACTCCATGATTTCAGAAAAATACTTCAGATTCGTAGTAGCAAGAATTGGGTAATCCTAATTATTTTGCGAACAAAGATACCACCAATACATAGGGTGCTCGTAATGTTCAATGACCGACCCCTAAAATAGCTTTTTATAGCACCTAACAGCTGGGAAGTACTGGCGTGCGTAGGAACTGGCACAGCTGCCAGTTCGCCCACTAGAAAGCTGTTTATCCCTTTTTGTTTCTTGCCTTCTTTCTCTTATTTTGGAAAATCAAAAATGTAACCCAGAGAACTGCAGAACAAGTCATGCAAGCATCTGGGACATCCTGGACCTGCCAAAATATGCTGACCCAGATCCACCAGAGTTAATTTGAACCCAACCACGTTGGACAATGCATCCTCTGCTCTTGAGGGAACCACATAGTCCAGATTATACCCCCACTGGACAAAACTGTTGTCCAAATAAACAGAGGGAAAATTTCACCTCCACCTGGTCGGGGAGGGGCAGAACACTGAGCTGACCCAGCCGCAGTCTGGTGAAAACAACACCACATTCAACCACCTTGGAGAAACTGGTAGTGAGTTTGAAAAATGATCCACCAAAAAACTCAGTTCTAGCTCCCAAGCTTGCTCTATGAGCACAAGGGACTGATGACAACTCACAAACCAGCACCTGGCAGGACCACTTCGGAGAACCCACCTGCGCCAGATGGCCCATCCCACTAAGGAAAGTCTAGGCTCAAAACCCTGAGCTGGTTTCCCCCAAAGCTGTCCAATAGGGAGAGGCAACATCCATTGCCACAGAGCCCAGCATACCAACCTTAAGAAGGGACAGAGGCACTGAAAAGGTCCCTGTCAAAGTGTCAGCACCTGCATTTGAAATCAGAGGAATAAGTCTAGAACCTTCACTGAACTGACTTTTTTTTTATTTAGTATTTTTTTAATTTATTTTTACTTTTTGCATTTTTTTCAATTTATCGTTACCTATCTCCCTCTTCCATTCTGTCCAAATATCAATTTGCTTAGCCCTCTCTTGCTCCAGTTTCTTTCTTTCCCCCAATTTTTTCTTGTCTTTTTTCTCCTCCTTTCTTCTCCATTCCTTCCTCTCCTCCCCCTACCTTTGCCCTCACTGTCCCTACCTCCTCCACTCACTCACCACTCACCGAACAGTCTATTATACCAACTTTACACATTACCCCTATCCTTCCTATCCCTCTGCAATCCCTGACAATAGCACCCTCTCCAACCCCCAATGACTGAACTGTACCTTTACACACATTAAGGCCCATTACCTTATAGTCCCCATACCTCACACCTCTTCTCCTCCTTGCCCCATCTCCCTTCCCTGCCCCCTCTTCTAGCACCATCTTCTTACTTACCTAAGATATGTATCTATCCAAACAACTGTTATCTCCCCAATATCCGCAGCTGATAGGCAATATTACCAAGGGGTTTCTTATATTATGTAAATAACTGGTTTGGCGTTGAATTTGTGAATTTGTTATTGCTAAGTTATACTGCTAGGTCAGGGAACAGAAATATTACAACAACCTAGCTAACATCTAAGCTAGTCAGAACACAGAAATTAAGTCAAGGGAAAGATAACAGGTGATTAACACCCCACTAACACACGAGCAAAACACAAAATAGAAACATGAGAAGAAAAAGAAGGCAGGGGAATATGATTCCTCAAAACTCTAACAATAACATAATAGTGGATTTGGTGGAAAGTAAAGGGGATGAATCTTCAGTTGCTGACCTCAGAAGAATGATGACAAGAATGTTCAATGAGCTTAAAGAGAACATGCAAAAACAACTCAACGAATATCAAGAGAACACAGATAAAGAAAACCTCAAAAAAACACAGAAACAACTAAACAAATTAAAAGAGAATTTCAACAAACTCTTAAATGAAACTAAGTAGATTGTAAAAAAGAGAGTGAGAGAGAGATGAAATAAAGGAGACAGCACAAGATATGAAAGAGGAGTATAACAAAGATATGGAAAACCTCAGAAAAAAAATTAAACAGAAATCCTGGAAATAAAAGGCCCCATAAATCAAATAAAAAATATAGCTGAAAGCCACTCCAGCAGACTGGAATAAGTAAAAGACAGAATTTCAGGGCTTTAAGACAAAATAGATATTAAAGAAAAAAACAGAAGAATCCTTAGACAAGCCACTCCAGCAGACTGGAATAAGTAAAAGACAGAATTTCAGGGCTTTAAGACAAAATAGATATTAAAGAAAAAAACAGAATCCTTAGACAAAGGACTCAAGAGCTATGAAATGAAACACAAGAACTCTGTGACTCCATCAAAAGATCAAACCTGTGACTCATGGGTATCAAAGAAGGAGAAGAGGTGCAAGCCAATGGGATACGCAAAAAAATAATAGCAGAAAATTTCCCAAATCTTGAGAAAGAGATGCCCATTCAGGTACAGGAAGCCTCCAGAAGACCAAATGGACATGACTAAAATAGAACCTCTCCAAGGCATATTATACTTAAAATAATTAGCACAGAGAACAAGGAAAGAATATTGAAAGCTGTTAGAGAGAAAAGTCAAAGTACACATAAAGGTAAACCCATCAAAATAACAGCAGATTTCTCAACAGAGACCTTAAAAGCAACAAGGGCATGAAGGGAGAGTTTGAGCACTGAAAGTAAACAACTACAGTCCTAAAATACTCTACCCAGCAAAGCTATCATTCAAAATTGAAGTAGGAATAAAAATCTTCTATGATAAACAGAAATTAAAATATATAACTACCACTATAGAAGATCCTGAAAGGAATCTTATACACAGAACACAAAAACAAACATAGCCACGAAAGGATGGCAATTATTAAACCTCAAAAGGAACCAGAGAGTAGCACAGAATTAATTGTACACACACACAAACCCTTACACAACTAAATGGCAGGAATCACCACATACCTCTTATTATTAAGACTGAATGTTAATGGCCTCAACTCCCCCATCAAAAGACACCAATTGGCAAACTAGATTAAAAAGGAAGACCCAATAATCTGTTGTTTATAAGAAATACACCTTAAGGACAGAAATAAACATTGCCTTAAGGTGAAAGGGTAGAAGAAGATTTACCAAGCTAATGGTCCCTGAAAACAGGCAGAGTAGCAATATCAGGTAAATCAGATAAAGCAGACTTTATAATATCAGATAAAATAGACTTCAAGCCTAAATTAGTCAGAAGAGATAGTCACTTCATACTAATAAAAGGAGCAATACATCAAGAGGAATAACAATTGTTAACTTATATGTGCCCAATGTCAGTGCACCCAACTTCATTAAACATACACTAGTAGACTTAAAAACACAGATATACCCCAAAAAACGTAGTGGTAGGAGACTTCAATACTCCTTTATCACCAACAGACAAGTCATCCAGACAAAAATTCTACAGAGAAACTCTAGAATTCAAAGATACCATAGATCTAAAGGAGCTGACAGACGTCTACAGAGTATTCCATCCTACAACAGCACAATATACATTCTTCTCAGCATCCCATAGAACTTTCTCCAAAATAGACCATATTGTTGGTCACAAAGCAAGTCTTAACAAATTTAAGAAAACTGAAATAACCCACTGCATACTGTCTGACCACAATGCAATAAAACTAGAATTCAGCAATAATAGAAACAGCAGAAAATACTCAAACACCTGGAGGCTGAACAACATGGGAGAAAAGCAAAACATTCTGGGAATTTAGTGAGAATGAAAGCACAACCTGTCAGATCCTAAAGAACAGAGCAAAGGCAGTCCTGAGAGGAAAGTTTATAGCCATAAGTGCATATATTAAAAACACAGAACGATCTCAAATAAATGACCTAATGCTGTATCTCAAACTCCTAGAAAAAAAAGAACAAGCTAAACCCAAAACTAGCAGGAGAGAAATAATAAAAAGAAGGGCCAAAATCAGCAAAATAGAGACCAAAAAACATACAAAGAATCAATGAGACAAAAAGCTGCTCTTTGAAAAGAGAAACAAGATCAACAAACCCCTCGCAAATCTGACTAAAATGAGTAGGGAAAAGACCCAAATTAATAACATTTAAAATGGGAGATCACAACAAACACCAGGGAATCATCAGGAACTACAATGAAAACATTCAAGTAAATCTAGAAGAAATGAACAAATTTCTAGATGCAAATGATCATCCAAAATTAAACCAAGGTGATATTACCTAAACAGATCTAAAACACACAATGAAATTGAAACAGCAATAAAGAACCTCCCAAAAAAGAAAAGTCAAGGACCTGATGGATTCACTGCTGAATTCTACCAGACAATAAAAGAAAAATTAATATCAACACTCCTCAAACTTTTGCATGAAACAGAAAGGGAAGGAACACTGGCAAACTCATTCTATGAAACTGGTATAACACTCATCCCAAAACCAGTTAAGGATACAACAAAAAAAGAGAATTACAGACCAATCTCTGTAATGAACATAGATGCAAAAATTCTCAGTAAAATATTGGTAAACCAAATTCCACAGCATATCAAAAAGATCATACACCATGATCAAGTCAGTTTTATCCCAGGGATGGAGGGGTGTTTCAACATATGCAAATCATTAAATGTAATACAGCATATTAACAGAAGCAAAGATAAAAACCACATCACCATCGCAATAGATGCAGAAAAAGCCTTTGATAAAATTGAACATCCTTTCATGATCAAACCTCTGATGAAACTAGGAATAGAATGTATCTCAACAATATATATGAAAAGCCAATAGCCAAAATCATACTAAATGGGAAAAATTGAATCATTCCTCTAAAGTCAAAATGAGACAAGGATGTCCACTCTCTCCACTCTTATTCAACATAGTCTTGGAATTACTAGCCAGAGCAATAAAACAAGAAAAGAATGAAAGGAATACAAATTGGAAAGGAAGTAGTCAAACGGTCCCTATTTGCAGATGATATGATCTTATACCAAAAAGATCTGAAAAACTCTACCAAAAACTCCTAGACACCATAAACAGCTTCAGCAAAGTAGCAGGATACAAAATCAATTTACAAAAAAATCAGTACCCTTTCTATACACAAACAATGAACAGACCAAGAAAGAATACAAGAAAACAATTCCATTTACAATAGCCTCAAAAAAAATAAAATATCTAGGAATAAACTTTAAAAAAGGTGTGAAAGACCTCTACAAGGAAAACTATAAACCACTGAAGAAAGAAAACAAAGACTATAGAAGATGGAAATATCTCCCATGTTCATAGAATAGAAGAATCAACAGAGTGAAAATGATTACCAAAAGCATTCTATTTTTTCAATGGAATTCCCATCAAAATCTCAATGAAATTCATCACAGAGATTGAAAACTCAACCCCCAAGTTCATTTGGAAGCACAAAAAACTGTGAATAGCCAAGGCAATATGAGCAAAAGATCAATGCTGGAGGTATCACAATACTCAACTTCAAACTATACTACAGAGCCATAGCAATAGAAACAGCATGGTACTGGCACAAAAACAGATATGAAGACCAGTGAAGCAAAGTTGTAAGACCCAGATATGAATTCACACAGCTATGCTCACCTGATTTTCAACAAAGGCACCAAAAACATATGATGGAGAAAAGACAAAACCTCTTCAATGAATGTTACTGGGAAAACTAGATATCTGCTTGCTAAAAACTAAAACTAGATCCATCCATGGCTGTCACCCTTTACAAGTATCAATTTAAAGTGGATTAAGGACCTTAATATATGACCTGAAACCTTGATGCTAGTGCAGGAAAGAGCAGGGAATACAGGGGAATTAATAGGCGTAGGCAATGACTTTCTCAATAGAACCCAAATGACTCAGCAACTAAGAGAAAAAATTGACAAATGGGACTACATGAAATTAAAAGGCTTCTGCACAACAAAAGAAATGGTCTGTAAATTGAAGAGACCACCCAAGGAGAAGGAGAAAATCTTTCCCAGCTATACATCTGACAAGGGATTGATAACCAGAATATACAGGGAGATCAAAAAATTAAACTTCCAAGACTTCAATGACCCAATGAAGAAATGGGCAAAAAGACTGAACAGAGCTTTTTCAAAGGAAGAAGTCCAAATGGTTAAAAAAAATACATGAAGAAATGCTCAATATCCCTAACCATAAAGGAAATGCAAATCAAAGACCATGTCCAAGATTCTACCTCTCTCCTGTTAGAATGGCTATCATCAAGAACACAAACAACAAAGGTTGGTGAGGATGCAGGGGAAAAAGGAACCCTCATACACCACTGAAGGCCATGCAAATTAGTACAACCACTATGGAAAACAGTATGAAGGCTCCTCAAAAAAACTGAAAAGAGAACTGCCATAAGGTCCTGCAATACTCCTAGGGATATACAGCAAAGGCACCTGCACACCCAGCATTATTCACATTAGCTAAGCTATGGAAATAGCCAAGATGCCCCACTACTGATGAACTGGTTAAAAAATGTGGTATTTCTATAAAACAGAATTTTATTCAGCCACAAAAAAGAATGAAATTTTGCCATTTGCAGGTAAATGGATAGAATTAGAGAACATCAACTTAAGGGAAGTAAGCCAGGTTCAGAAGGTCAAAAGCCACGTTTTCTCTCATATGTGGAATATAGACCTAATACAAATACAGCAATATTAATGCTCCAGGGAGGTCACATACAAGAGGGGGAGGGTAAAGAAGGAAGTTAAGAAAGTGAATATGGTTGATGTACTCTCTTTACAAGAATGAATATAAGCCAGGTGCTGGTGACTCATGACTGCAATCCTAGCTACTCAGGAGGCAGAGATCAGGAGGATGGAGGTTCAAAGCCAGCCCAGGCAAATAGTTCGTGAGACCCTATCTTGAAAAAATCCCTCACAAAACAATAAGGTTGGTGGAGTGGCTCAAGGTGAAGGCCCTGAGTTCAAGCCTCAGTACTGCAAAAAAGAAAAAAAAAAAAGAATGAATATAGAATTTGCAAACCAGTTGAAACCACTATAAGAAAAGGACTAAGACAGAATGAAGAAAAAAACAGGAAGAACCAAATTGGGCTATAATACATGGAAGTGTCACAAGGAAACTCCATGTGTAACTCTTAAACAAGCGAAAATGTCATTTCTTTCTTTTTCTTTTTCTTTTTTGCTTATACAAAATCAGAGAACAGGACTGTGGAAGAGGTCCTGCCTTGGGAGGTTGGTACCAATGGGAGGGGGAAGGATGTGAGGAAAGAGTACAGAAGGGTAAACATGGCGCAAATACTGTGTACATATATGTTTGCCAATGGAAAAATGTTATCCGTTTAAACTATTCCTGAATGGGGTGAGGGAAAGACAAAGGAGAATAGTTGAGGGGGTGAATTCAAGTACCATATATTTGATGTAAAGAACCTTTGTAAATGCCACAATATACTCCCTCCCAGCACAACAATTTAAAAAAAAAAAGGTAAATTACTTTTTAACACATGACTTAGTGAAGACAGAACCCATGGCAGTTAGCTGTCCCTGAAGCAGTCTAACAAGGTTTCACTAATGAATCTGAACTGGGTCCTGAAATAGGAGGAGGTATTTTCCAGGTGCAACTCTGAACAGTAGGTACAGATGTTTACACATTTTGTGGACTTTATCTATTTATAAATTTTGGTGTGGGAGAGGACAGAATGAGGGAAAACAGAGATACACAACCTTGTAGAAGTAGCAAGGACCTGACTGTGAAGGATCTAAAATGTTATTCTCAGGTGTGTGAATGCAATTACCTTGAGATCACAGTACAGACATTTATAAGCACAGGAGTTACATTTTCACTTTTTTAAAGGAAATCTACCCTGGTTCCAGAGAAGTTTAAGAGGAACAAAGGATAGAGTTTTTCTCCACTCTGTTGTTCCTAAGGAACAATATGTTGGTGGCAATGGGATACTAGTGTTAGAATCTAGAAGGGATGCTGTGCCTTAGGAAAGTGGTGGCACCTCCATTAGCTGCCAAGTCATGCCTGGGACTCTTCATTCTGCACTGGGTCTAACCAAATACTTAAAGGGCTTGAGGCTGTGCTCTCACGTGGTGGGAACTGGGCCACTGAACTATACTGGCTCTACAAACTGGCATGCACAAGCACACCTAGTTTTTTTGTTGAGATGAACTCTCACTAACTTTTTGCCCAGGCTATCTCGAACTATAATCTTCCCAATCTTTACTTTCTGGGTACTTGGAATTACAGGCATGTGCCACCATGGCCAGCTCAACTGGTTTTTTTGTTTTGTTTTTTATAAAGAAAATTCTATAATTTTAAATTGTCTTATACTACAATGTTTAGATTATAGCATACTGAGTAATTATCAGTTTTACTATTGTTTTCATTTTCTTACACATTTACAACTAACAATAAGAGTTATTTTAGATGTTCACACAATTTTTTTTAGTGGTGCTAGGGATCAGATTCAGGGCCTCAAGCATGCTAGGCAAGCACACTAACAGTGAGAAACACCCCAAACCCTGACAGATTTTTTTTTTTTTTACAGAACCAAATAAGAACACAATACCAACTCTGTCTACTCAGTGAATAAATCTATCACCTGTAGCTTGTGGAAACTCAGAGCCCTTCAGAACGGCACCAAGACTCTTCAAAATAAGGTCTCAAAGCCCTTATCCAGACTCCCCTCCCACTTGGCCGTCTGTTACTTTCCAGTTTAGCAAAAATAATTCCAAGCATTATAACTGGGAAGGTCCAAACCCAGAAATAACTCAATGGCTTTAAAAGCACAGGACATCAGGTCTGCTCCCACCCCATGGCATCTTTCTGGACACTCCTCAGGCCCTGGATGGTCCTCCATGTTCCCTTCGCCATAGGCCTTGTAAGGTTCCAGAAAATAGACCTGGTTGTAGTCCCCACTGTGTCCCCAGGTTCTTACAGCAGGCTTCTAGCCCCAACCAGGCTGGAAAGGCTCCAAGACAAAGAGAAGACCACCAAAACAGCACATACCATCCTGCTGTCCATACCCCCACTAAAGACCTGACAGTAATTCTTAAAGAACAGAACATTAATTATCTCCATTGACAACACCCATATGCAGGGTTGTAGCTTGTTCAGTCATCATTCTATGTGCAAGGCAAAGACTGCCTGTGGTAAAAAATCCACCTGGAACAGTGTGGTACTGCATGGTAATTTCAACACTGGGACTTAGAGGCAGTAGAATCATGAGTTCCAGACCAGTCTGGGATACATAATAAGACTGTCTTAAACAAACAGTAAAAAAGAAACCCACCTGATATAGTCCTCATGGCTGGAACTCTCACTGCAGATGTAGGCAACATCAATCTCTTGGCTGGAAAGAGCATTTTCCAAAGAAATCTGCTGGACTTCATCAACACTTCCAAGCTCTCGTCTATTTCAGAATAGCAGAGAAAGGAACTCAAAATGTAGGCAGTGTTGAGCTGCAATAAATAAATGAGCACCACCTTTCTCCCCTCTTCCCAACAAGGTCCTGTTATCGGCTTTTGGAAAAGAAGATGTTAATCTCCTCCTCCCCATTCCACAGTATTTTTCATTGTAGAGTAAAGAAAACAGCCTTGTGGTTAAAGTCAGGGGACTTGGCATGATAGCCTGTACTACCAGCACAGCATGTAGGACATGGGAGAGTCTCTGAGTTACTTCTTCACTAAAATAAAAAGAACAATATAGTTTTAAGTCATAATAAGTGGTCTCTGTGGTCACTTCCAGTTCTAAGCACTTAACCATAAATTATGACTACCAAACCCAATCCAGATCCAACACAGCAACATGCCTTGGGTGCAAACCACCATGTGTCTTCAAGCTCCTTCATACACTTCAAGGCCTAGTGACTGTCAAGTAGAAGGTAATGGTCCCTGCCTCTCTTAAAACTTAGCTATCAAGCCCAAAGAGGTTTGACTGCCATAGCTGAATGGGAATAGAACCAGGATGGGAACCCAGCACCCCTGATTCTCACAAAATAGGGAGGGGCTCCAGTAGTGAATGAAACCACACCATGGCAGTGTATGTCAACCGTGAGGCTGAAGGAAGGCAAAAGTCCTCAGAGGGCAACAGAGCAATGTGGGATAGCAAGCAGAGGCTCCCGCTAATAGCAGTTGCAGCAGGCAGAGGGAATTTAGGGAAGTTCAGCTCCCTTTAAAAGATAGTACACTAGGTTTCCATCTATGTAATCATACCATCCACTCTGCTGGGTTTGACTAATACTTGGGGTTTGCCTACTGTGTGCTAGGAACTGCAGGAGAAATCATGGAAACGAAGTAAGATTCTCACCTTCAATGAGCTCACATTCTGGTACAGAGAGGAACATACACACAACACCCTACCACCACCACCACCAATGCCACCACCACCAACAACACAAAACTAACATGAGTACTGGGCTGAGAAGAGGAGTAGGAGATTCAGGAAAGGCAAGGAACACGACTAGACTAGGATTTCAGAACAGGTTTCCTGGAGAGTCAACAGAAACTAACAGGTAGGAAATGAGGAGCAACGGAGGGTAACAGCAGGATGTTATAAAGCATGGGTGTGAGCTCAACAACTTCCCACAGGACCTTGCTAGCTGAGGAATTCCCACTGTGTCTACCTTAACATCCAACTGGTAGAAGACTGGGACTTAAGGGCAAAGGAGAATCCCACTTTAGCTTTGAGCAAAAGTGTCGACCTCAGCTTCAGATGGGGATACACTGGGAGTGTGAGCGAATAATAACCTTGAATCTACCTGTTGTGTGAAGCTCCCTTGGAATTGCACAGGAGAAGCTTGCTGAAGAGCACCTCCAGTACTTCTGGGTCTCTCTGGGGCCTTAAACCCCATTTTCAATCCTTAAAATTGGGCTGGCTTTGAGACAAGCAGACTGAGGAAAGTGGCTCAATGAATCAAAATACAAAAAGACTACTACTGAATCATCACAATAGTACTTGTGCTTTCTAACAATATTTATCTGCTATCATTAAAGCACTAGAAATAGAGACGTAACTAAATTTTTCATTGTGCTATCTCCATGCTCAGCCTTAGTGTCTGGATCTAGTTGATAATTAATACTAGTAAATGATGTTGCACAGAATTAGCTTGATGAATGATGTGTATTTTGAGGGTGTGTGTGCAGAGGTGGGGGAAAGATTTGAACATGGGACAAAGAGGAAGAAACAGAGTTATAAGTTTGAATATCATTGAGTTTTAGGAAACAAATGAATCCCTACAGAAAAACAGGGCTTAGAAATACCAATAAGAAATGAACATCGTGTTTAAAAGATGGGATTTGGAATCAAATTAATTTGCATTCAAATCTATTTCTTATGTTTTCAGCTGTCTGACCTCTGGAAAATAACCTGAATTTCCTGTAGCTCAGCTTTCTTATCTTTAAACTGTGATTAATAATGGTATTCAGAATAATATAATGCATGAAAGTCTACGGGTACCAAGAGGTGGCACACACCTAAAGCCTTCTTTCAGGTCAACCCTACCATGTGTTTGCTATCTCACCTGTAGCAGAAAGACCCTGTGCTCATCTTCCCTGCTGTCTTTGGAGCCACCACTAGGTGTCCCACTTGCTACACATCCCAGCTATAGGCCTCCCCCTCTTCAGTTCCCAGACCCACAAAACTGAGACCTCTGGGGATAGCCCTGTGTGTGGTTCTTTGGAGGTGCTGGCTCTCCCTCCCCTGGCTCTAAAAGATGTCCCAGTCCTGTAGCCTTATCTCTCATTGTGCTTTCTGTGAATCATGAGGCACAAAGCAAGTCCAAGCCACCTGGACACGAAGCCAATCAGGTTCAGGAACGCTGAGGAAGCATGTGGATTCCGCAAATCCCTTATCCTCACGGAGCCGGCTCGGCCAACACCAACCACCACCACGCCAAACTTCCTCCCAGGCTGAAACACAAGGGACCAAGGTGGGGTTTGAAAACAGTCCAGGCATCCAGCAAAACAAAGAATCAGTCAGGGTTCTTATAAGCAGGAAGAGCTGCCAACCCAGAACACAGAAGAAACCACACATTGAAGCTGGATAAGACTCTCCTAGAAACTAGGGTTTAAAGATAAGTCATGTCGGTCCTAACATATTTTGAAGGCCTTTGCCTATGTTTTGTGTTGAAAATATGTTGGCCATCCATCAAAAACTGCCCTCCATTGGGCTTTCCCTGTCTACTAGTGGTAAGAGAATTTTCAGTTGAATTTGCACCATTCACAGCCTGGGTTGGTGCCTCTATCTTCCCTGAGTTAACCCTGCAGGAAAATGAGAATTTGGTGAGCTGTGAGTCATTGGAGGCCACCCACAGCTGTTGGTAAGATAATGGCAGACTAGACAGAACACATGGGACGCCATGACCTGCATGTTACGCAGACCACAGCATTCTGAGTTTCAGTCATCTTGATGCCTGCTCTACTATGGTACTTTACATATCAATTAAGGGTACTGCTGGAGGCTGCATGTGAATATACTATAGTGAAAACTTATGCCCACTTTTTAAAGTTATATAACATATAGTCAATATAATTCAAATTGATAATAAATTTCTCTATGTTTTCCTTAAACCCAGCTCTTCTTGAATGTCTCTGAACATAAGAACATGAATATCACCTCAGACTTGCCCCTTTCCTTCACCTTTGAGATCTGGTGGTCACCACAACCTTCTAATTCTGCCCTTCCTCCTTTGTCCACTGCTCAAGTCTTGGTTTCTTCCAAATATTTGTGGATTTTCTAGATGCTTACTACTGATTTCTTATTTAATTCCATTGTTGTCAGACAGCATTCTTTAAATGATTTAAATTTCTATAGACATGTTTTTTGATTCATAATATGGATTATCTTGGACCTGGAGGAGTATCTCCCAGAGGCCCCTGTGTTAAAGGCTTGGTCACCGGCTTAGCACTACAGACAGAAAATAGAATGTTTAAGAGGTGGCACCTAGTGTAGGACTTCTGGTCAATTAGGACATGCCCTCAGGTGGAACTGTAGGATCCTGGTCTTCCTCCCTTCTCACATTTTCACATTCTGCCATGAAGTGAAGGGTTTTATTTCTACCACACGCTTTCTGCCATGATATTCTACCTTGCCATAGGGTCAACAGACCAATGACTGAAACATTCCAAGTGAGCCAAAATAAACCTTTTCTCTTTATGAGTTGATTATCTCAGGTATTTTGTTACAGTAATTGAAATCTGACAAACACACTTAGTAATGTTCTGGCACACTTAAAAAGAACCTGCATTTTGCTAATATTGGGTGGGGTTTTTTACATGTCTGTTTGCTAAGGTATTGTTACAATCTTCTATATTCTTAATGATTTTTCCATCTACTTGTTCTTTAATTATTGAGGGGTAGTGAAATCTATGAATATAATGTATATTTCTTCCTTAGTTCAATCAGTTTTTAACCTATGTTTTTGGAAACTGTTATTAGGTACATACTTATTTAGGATGCTAATGTCTTCCTTAGTATTGATTCCATCATTCTGAAATGGGGTATTTTTATTCCTGGTAATACTCTTTGCCCTGAAATTAACTTTGTCTGATATTAACAATCCACTCCCAATTTCCACTGATTAGTCTTAACATAGCACATTTTTCTCATTCTTTTTCTTTTAATCTATGTATGTTTTTTATCTAAAGTTTCTTGTAGGCAACATATAGTTAGGTCTTATTCAATGTAACAATCTCTGCCTTGTAGTGCTTAATTTACATTGTGATTATTGATATGGTTGGGTTTAAACACAAATCCAATACAAATCTTTCTACTTGCACAATCTGTTCTATTTTTCTCCTCTTTTTCTGAAGTCTTTTCGATTAATAAGAACATCTCTTATGATAACATATCATTTGTTGGCTACTAATATAATTTTAGAGGTCATTTATGCTGTTTTTATTGTATACATTTTACTTACCACAGTCTACCTTAAAGAAATATTATATCAATTCTCATGAAGAACATTACAACAGCCTACTTCCATTTCCTCTCTTATGAACCTTGTACCATTGTTGTTAGACAACTGACTTCTACATTTCTTATAAACTCAAAAGATAACAATCAGGGTTCAATCTGGAAAAGAGAAACTATTCTATATACACATGGCTTAACCTCAACTATTCTGTATGTATACTATTGTATGGACATATCATGTAACAACAGGGATACATTCTGCGAAATGTATTGTTTGGTGATTCTGTCCTTGTGTGAATATCATATCTTATACTTAGACAAACCTAGATGACAGGACCTAGTATACATGTAAGCTACACAGTATAGCCACCATTATATTACATGGTCAATCACTGACGAAATGTTGCTATGTGACACATATCTATACCTTAAGTATGAATAATCTGAGCACAGGGAATTAAAGGCTTGCATACCATTACATTCACTGGGAGTTAAGGCTACAAAAGTCATCATTGACCATCTCCCCTGCAACAATGAGGCCTGTGATTCTCTAGAGTCTACCAGGACGCTACAAAGTCTAGAAAACACATGCAGCTTCTCACCTGCAGCTTGGGAGGATGGGATACCTGGAGCTCATCTGAAGCTTCTGCTAAGCAAATACTGGCCTTCTCTCACAAAACCGACTGAAACCTACCCTATGAGTAATGGCCTCTATGCAACATTCCAAGCCTCCAGGGAATGTTTCTACCTGGTTAATTGCACACATAAAATGGGACTCTGGGAACTATAGTTCCAGGTTTCAGTTCTGTGAGGCAGGGAAGACTACAGGAAAGAAAGGCCATCACGCTTAACTGACAATACAAAATTTAACCCCCAAGTATTCCCTTTGAGTTACAGAAAAAAACTGTTACAAGTACAGTTTTTGTTTTTGCTTTGGCTTTTTAAAAGTCTGATTACCAAAAACCAGTGATATAGACCCTAAAAGAATCTGTGCAGACAAAACATATAATCCTGGTCAAACCTTTGTTTCTCTTTTAACCAAAGAGACAAGTAATCCCCTTATTAGGTTAAATATTTATGTCACTCCTAAGATTAACTACTGACTTACTATATTCCACATAACATCCATTCCAATAAGCTCTGATAGCTTCAAAAATGCCACAAGGTTAAGAATGTCTCTGTTACCTATAAATAGCCAAACTTCTGTTTTTATTTCATTAGTTAATGCAAACCTGTGCACAAAAACCTGGCTTGTATAATGTGTCATACAGCATTATGAACTACTTTAGGATTTAGATATGTTCCTTTGCAAAATCTGCACATGGGGCAAGATATGGGTGAAAACACTGGTATCTTAACAGTTAAATTCCTATTAGAAGATAATTTTATTTTTCCTTTTTTATTTTTACAATACAGGCATTTAAACTCAGGGCCTCAGGCTTGCTAAGCAGGCACTCTACCACTTGAGCCATGCCCCTAGCCCCTGAAAAGAACTTTATTTTTGAGGATAACGACTTGTTGGAGTTCTTCTTCATCTTAGGTGAGGCCTCTTCAAGGTATGTTCTGAAAAGAAACTACATCTCAAATTTGGTTAAGGCTGGGGGTATAGCTCAGTGGTAGACAGCTTGCCTACAGTGTATGAGGTCCTGGTTTTGACCCATAAACTTAAAAAGAAAAAAATATACAACAAAACAAAAAGAGATACTTATACCATTCTACAGCAAGAAGCTAAAATTACAGGAATAAGAACCAGAGGCAGAGGAAAGGGGAGAAAAGGTAAGTGTGAAAGGGAAACTGCAAATGGGTTGTGAGAATGCTGACGTCTGAAAAGAAATGAGCCAGGAAGAAATGTCCAAAGAGGAGTAGGCAATGGACTTCTAAAAACCAGAATGTCTAAAATTCCATTTGCACTCATCTGCTGGGCTCAACTATCTTGACCTTCATTAAACTAATACCACTATAGAAGAGGAACTATGAGAAATAAAGGGACAGGAGTTTTGAGACAGCAAAAAAGGTACACATCTAACAGAGCATAAAGTGACTCAAAACTAATTCAAGATCAAATCATAATCACAAAGTAAACTTTCTCCCTTATCCTTGAACTCAGAAACACTGGTGTCTCCCTCCAGACCTGAAAATGTAGTTCATGAGAAGCTAAGATTAAGAGAAGGCATTCTGCCAACTTACAGAAAAGGGTATTTTTGAGATGAAAAGTGTAGAAGAAAACACAAAATCACTGTACAAGAATGTTAAGATGGGCATAGTTAAGGAAAGCTGGGTAACTGGAAGTGATCATGGAACAGATATTGGAACACTGGCTCCTTCTTCTCTCTTTCTTTCCTTCCTGGTTGCCATGATACAAACAACCCTTTCCCACTATATACTTTGGCCATGATGTACTATGACAGGAGAAACCCAAAGCAACAAGTGACCCTGGACTGAAACCTCAGAAACCATGAGCCAAATTAAATGTTTTCCTATATAAATTTGATTTTCTCAAGAATTTTGGCAAAGCAACAGAAAGATGATGAAAGTATAGAAAAAAACCAGACAACCTAATTTATGGACAGCAACCTGGAAATACTGATCATAACACAAAGTGTAAATACCCTTTCTCTGGTAAATCCATCAATAAAAATATACACAGAGCTACACAGGTAAAATGACATGGGTTTACTTACTTCAGCCTTACTTTTAAGAAGCCAAAGGTCAAAATAATCTATATGTTGTTAACAGAGAGCAGCATAGTTGGATAAGTTATGGTATATCTATAAAATGCAACATTTCACATCTATAGAAAAGAATACAGTGTTCTTTATGCATTGAAAAGGCTTGCTTGAGTCCAATAATAATTAACAGAAAATCTCTTCAGTAGAGCAGATCAAATTGAAGAGAGAAGATCAGGCCTTGAAGATAACACAGATGTATTAAACAGCTAGATGAAAAAGGAAATGGAAAAAAAAAGAAGTATGATTGAAAAATGTAACAACTCTAG